GTGTTTGTAAAGGTATATGACTAATTAATGTGGCGAATACGTTGAATTTCTTCATAGAAATGTGCCAGTTATGGGCAATGCGTTCCGTTCTACATTAAAAGTAAATCGGGCACAACTAACTACATATACCAGACTATACTTACATGCTCCTTACAATGCAGGATTTTGTCGAGTGTTTCTACAATGTATTTATTAGGCTCTGAAATGATCTTTTAACAGCCAAACTGTAACTATAATCCATCAGTACGGTGGACTGCAGCGCCCCCTTGTGGACACATTTGGACAAAAACACTTTCAGTAAACCACCGCCCCTCCCCCACTACGTTCAACTCAAGTTGTCTAATCGTCTTCCTACTGAATTACACATCTTCCCCAAGGTTTACTTACCAAGCAGTATTTTCAGTAGAGACTGAAGACGCCGGGTTCAAAAGTCAATCCGCTGATTGTAACGTTACAGACTTCTGGTCTTAAAACGAGTAACGGCCCCGCTTTATTGTTGACCTGCTAATGTTATCTAGCGATTAGCTTGTTTGCTATTAGCGGTCCTTGTCTTCACTTCACAGCTGATCGCTTAATTCACACTCGAACTTAAGCATCTTTCAAAAGAACTCGGTCGAGAATGAATTATTCTGAGACTTTTTAAATTTATAGAAAAACTGCTCTTCCCGATTAAATGCGATGAGATTACATCCAAAGAGTGTTTGCGTTCGTCGGAGTCTGTCTGCAGCGGCATCCCTTTCGACCTAATTTTACAAAGTGATTTGTATCAGCTAGACCAAGTCGCCCTTTATTAAGCGACTCGATCCGATAGGTAACAACTAACGAGCTGCCTAGTCCAAAAATTTACCTAAACGAATTAATGGTTCTGTAAATTTTCTGCTACGTCAAAAACACACCGATACTTATCAAAACAACGGAACCCACTGAGGGGAGTAACGCAGAGCCTTTTTATTTATATGGATCTGATGCTCACGCCCACGTTTCTCAAGGCCCGCTTCTGATTTGCTACTTAAACTGTCCATAAACTCTAAGACCCATGTCATTGGCTAAGATTTGCTCCGTCAGTCCCCAAGCTTTACCTGTGTCAAATTGGTAGACTCGACTGTTTATCGCTCAAAAACAAAAACGGCAACTTATGGTTTTGGTTGTATCTAATATACATATGTTCAGTATTCATCTCTCATTGATGTAGGCTTTTGAGCAGTCAAAAATGTATAAATACATATATTCTCTGTCTAGTTCTACAGAGGTCACTTTGACTGCCCATCTTTACTTTGTGTGTAGTTCAGTTTTATTTGCTTTATCCTTCCAATACACGTAAATGTCACCCACTAATATGGGTCATGGTTTGGTTAATTCACTGTAACTAAGTGGCGTGCATACAGCTAAAAATGTAACACTTTGCACACAAAAGGAATTAACATGCTACATTTCCTCATAACCAAGTAAAGCTACATCTTTTATAAAAATCCATCCTTTACAAACATACTTCCCAAATCCAGTATTACAAGTTAACATTTTATTGATGAAAATACAAACAGCATACAGGAAACAAGCAGTGTTGGATGGTTAGGTCTGTGTTATATAGTCAGACACATCCTCCAGGGCTGTGCACTCACTTTCTAGATACTCCAGGATCACATTACCCCCATTATACAGTGGGGTTTGTGGGTGAGCCAGCAATGAGAGCAAAGTATCATCCATCCGCAAAGCCTCACCTGTCTGGGGATGGCATAGCCGCAGCTTCTGTAAACAGATGGAAGAGAGGTACACTGTTGAGACTTATCCAAGAGATATACAGTATGCTCTATTTTTATCCCAGCCACATTTACATTTGAATTTGTTTTAGAACATATTTATGGTTGGGGAAAAACATGGCTTGAAAAATTATTTAAATATGGCAGTCTTTTCTGAATGCTATTCCTTCACTGAGAAAGATTCTATCTCAGAGGAGCTGTAAAACTAATTAATCATCCATTTCATTCATCACAAAGTAACTTTATATATTAGTGGCTATGCACTACAAAACCTTAGTGCACAAGTTACTGTAACATTATGTGGCTTTCATGCTCGTAACAAAAACAGTGACATGCAAAATATTTAACACCAGCTAACCAGATTTCCTGTCAGCAGTGCTCTCTCTTGCTGCTGTCATATACTGTGGGCAGGAAAGTGGTCTGCAAAAAGAGTTGATCTTTTTTGTGCAAAAATTGTGTAGTTATGGTGGAAAACTCTTTTTGCTTTAAAATTATTTGTAGGCTTAAATGTTGACAGCCATCCCTTTTCCCTTCTTTTAGCAAATGTAAGTTTTTTTGTAAAGAAAGTACAGTGAGAGGTGGGAGAAGTGGGTTGGTTATTTTGCTGTAGTTGTAACTGCATGTCTCTACCCCTCATGTCTTACCTTAGATGTCAGTACATTATTGTAGTTTTTGAGGTTAGCTTGAGAGGCTGCATAATCCACCACTTTTCCCACACTCCATTTGGAACAGAAAAACATGGGTTGGTTGGAGTCTTTAGATCCTTTAGGGAGATAAACTTGAAAATAGGTTCTCTCTGTCTAGAAAGCCAAAAAAGGAGAGAAGCAGTCAGCCTAACAAAATAATGACCATAGAATGATACACAAGGGTACACTGTAGATACTATGCAAGAAGCTTTTTTTAAATAAAATACATAGAGGCTTGGATTTTACCTGTGGCAGTCCCTTGTCTCCTGCAGCATGCAGCTTCAGTTTCATTAATGCTACCTTGGCTGCAGTTGCACTATTTTTTGCTCCTCTGCGTCCTTTGCTTTTGGTTGTATCCTTTGACTCTGAGGGGTCACAAAAAAGTAATACAAACACAATCCAAATGTAATCAGGTTCAGTAATCAACAGATGTGCATTAGTTATGACAAATTTGAGAGCATTTTGTTTAATAATGATTCCATGTGGAGAAAAAAAGGGAATGACAGGAGATTCTGACTGCAGCCAACTTGTGATGAGCTCTGCCTGTATGACACTGTAACTGACCCACAATCTTCTGCACCAGCTCTTTAGTGGCTACCATTCGTGGCTGAGGGACCTCTAACTTCTCACACTTATGATCATCTTGATGACGGTGGCTGTAAGATAATAAAGATGTGAACCTTTCCATTAACCTGTTTCATTTATAACAAAGTAGTTTAGATAATGAAGGTATTACAATAACCCCAGATAAGCACATGCTTACGCTGCTTTATAAAAGGGTTGATGAGAGAGAAGAAAGTATGAACCTACGCCAAACAGAAATGTTTTTCACACTGTGGACATATTACTGGCAGCACTTCCTTTCGCTTGCAGTCTTTAAATGTGCATGGATAACTTGTACTGCCACCCACTGTCCGCGATTCCCTTTTTATCAGCTCCTGCACACAGGTAAGAGGGAAAAAGACTCAAAAACCAGCACAGCCACTGTACAAGCACCAGTGCAGAGGAACAATGTCCCAGGAGTAATCTTATCTAAGAAAAACATGTCATCAACAGTAGGGCTTACCTCTGAACATGAATGTGCCTCTCTGCTTCTGTGTTCAAGGCTGTAAGAGACAAAAGGATGAGTACCTCTGATAAAAAAAAAAAAAGACAAACAGTATGTGAAATAGTCTGACATGAGAAGTAACCAAGTACATTTATATTCACTGTGATTATGAGGTACCTTGTTGACTTACATTTCAGAACACACATTGTACCTTTTTACTCCAGTTTGATTTCAGAATACACATTGTACCTTTTTACTCCAGTTTGACACTGGACTTTTGAGGGTGATACTGTTAACAAAATGTGAAACTTTCACAAAATCTGGCAATATAGTGGCTGATGTTTATTCACCAAAAACATTGGTGAGAAGGAAGGTTTATAGTTGGCAATCATGGCAAAGATATGACCTGAAGGGTGTATTTTACAGTCAGAAAATTAATTTGATCTAATGGACAAAATATGTAAAGGAGACATTATTTCTAAATTTTTTCAAATATATTTGCTATTTACTTTTTGGCAAAAACACAGCATAGGCTGATACCAATAAATCTGTGAAGAATCACAATCAATCAATAATATCAGCACGGCTCATCATGCTCCGTTACTTTGCAGGTTAATGTTATTTTTAAGAAAGTACCATTTTAAATACAACACTATAAATCCTTCACAAGCTGTTGAACGTTATGAAGAAAGCCTCTTGGTCAAACAGCAGAGCATTTTCAGTCAGAGACTTATTTAGCTCTACTGTGACAAAAATCGCTACAGGGAGTCTTTCCAGCCAACTGCAATCACAATGTACAATGACTCCTCTGTTGGGAGGGAGATCTCCTCCTCTGACAAACAATCTATATATCTGTACATCTGTATATACAGATGTGTTATACAGTATGTTAATGCTCAACCTTACCTGCACCTTTCTGTACATATATTTTTAGATTATCTACCTGACTTACACCGATGTACAGTGTAGTATTGTATACAGTTTACTTTATTAAAATGTGCATAAGTGTTTATTAGTCTCCACAACTATTTTAGGATACTTTTCTACTTTATTTTATTGTCTGTCTATTTCAACTGAGTATTTTCGCAATGTATTTTCCTACTTGGAGTTAAGAACCTTACTTCTTCCACTACTCTGGAAACAGGTTCACACCGGGAGACTGGGAAATCTTACCAGAAAACACCACTGCAGGAATCACAAACAAATGGAAGAAAATCTGTAGGACGAATGGGGGGACCAAACTGTCAGGTCATTGTCAGAACAGAGATCTTTCAATAGCACACTGCACATTTTAGCGTGTGATTGACTGTTAACGATAGATTAAGTAATGGCACATATAAATAGATAACTTACCAAAAGTTACCACGTCCATTTACAGCTGTGCTAACAGGCTAAGTTATAAGCCAGAATGAAACGTCTCACGATTAAAGTTAGTCGTGTTTAAGAAGATGCTGTAAACAATACTGGTGTCGGACAAAGATATGCGGTTAGCTCTCTAGCTACAAACCCTGTATTCAAATGGTGTTAGCGCCAGCTAGCTGACAGGCTAAACGCGTTGCAAGACACTTTATGTGACCCTAGGTCAAAAAATCTGCACACACCAATATGTGTTTTATTGCAACTCAGACGAAGTTGAAACAAACCTTTTAGATTGCAGGAATCGAACTGGCAATGCTTCCCAATGTCTAACTCAGCCATTAGTCGGCGGCTAGCCGTGAGACTGTAGACGTAAACACGAACTTTGAACCCGCCGGACAA